AAGAGACTCATAAGGGCATTGATAATCTATTCCATGAAATCCTGCAAGAAAACCTTCCAAATCTAGAAAGGCACTCAAAGATCCAGTCTCAAGAAATACAAAGGGCCCCAAATAGAATCAACCCAAGAAGATCTTCTCCAAGACACATTATAGCCAGATTGACCAAAACCACAGACAAAGACAAGATACTAAGATTGGCAAGAGAGAAATGGCAAGTTACCTACAAAGGATATCCCAACAGGCGAACAGCAGACGTCTCATCGGAAACAATGAGAGCAAGGAAAGAATAGGAAAATATAATCAAAGTATTAAAGGAAAAGTAATTTCAACCAATAATACTATGCCCAGCAAGACTGTTCTTCATATGGGGTGAAATGACAAGAACATTCTCAGACAAACAGAAGAATTTACCAACACCTGACCAGATCTCCAAGAAGTTCTCAAGGGAGTGTTGTACCAGGAAAAATTAAATACAGACACAAAAAATGAGAGTTCAAAAACTAAGAAAAAGGCCAACTTAATCGTAAGGGACAAGTCTGGAGTTGAGTATTGTTTCCCAGAATTTAATCAGGTAGATCGAACCACAACAGAAGATAGATGAAGTACATGAGACTGATGAAACAGAATTTTTATGACTTTTGACTAAAACATTGCTGATTTTCTTCTAGGCTTTGTTTACTGGTTTTAAGGACTTTTATCCTGTCTTGAGCTGCTGATAGGTTCATGTACCTACTATTTGAACAGAATCCTAACCTGTTTTCTGGCTTTAAGTTTTAAGCAAAGTTCCTTAGCATTTCTTTGATTTATTAAAGCTAAAACTGCTTTTCTTGAAATTAAAAAATATATTTAAAAATACCTATTTAATGACTGTAGTAAGCTATATAGCATCAGCTACATGCTACCTTATAGTATATTCATTCTACTCAGAGTTTCATGCCTAAGTTCAAACATGTATTCACAGATAGGTATATAACAGCTGAAGTTGCTACTGAAAGTAGCTAGATTAATTAAAATATTTTGTGGATCAATAAAATGTAAGGGGAGAAAAAAGAGATGAAAAACAACAGCAGCCACCTGAGATAGTGTGGGAGGAGGGTGGGAAATGGCAGAGGGGGAGAAATAGAGGTTAAAAAAACAAAAAAAAAAATATATATATATACACACACACACACACACACATATATATATGAATTAAACTAGAAATGGAAAATTATTGATGATAACTTATATGATTAAGCCACTATGCAGTACATTCTGGATGGGAAATCACAGTTTATATGCTGTGACAATGCTCAGGGAATGAATGTAAATTAATTAATTAATTTTTAAAAATGTTTTAGAAGAAAATTACAGTGCACTTGTCACTAGATTCTAGCTTTGTCCATATTTTTAGTTTAAGGTATCTTGTGAATCAATAAAATGTGGAAAAAAAGTTTAGTATGGAAGGGAGAGAGGGAAAGGGGAAGGAAAAAGCAAGTAAAAGTACACTTAATTGACCAAAAAATGAGAATGTATGTGCTGTTAAGTTATAGAGTAATATCTTTGGCTTGACTAACATGCATAGTATTTGTACTGGAAAAAGAAATGCTGTTCACTGTGAAGACGTGATTAAATGTAAATAAATTAATTAATTTTTAAAAAGTTATAAAATGAAAAAAAAAACTAAATTTTATTTTTTGTGCAAATCCAAATATAAGTTATGCTACTAAATGCATTACATTACTAACATAAAGAGATAAAGCTGACAAACAAATACTACTACTATCAGCTAACATTTAAATACATGCTACTTTATGGCAGGCATGGCTGGAAGCGCTTTACAGGAAGTACTCATTTAATGCACACAACCAGCCTATCAGGTGGTACTACTGTTATACTCATTTTATAGTAGTCTGTCTCAGGTTGAGGCTAAAGGTCTTGGGGCTGGAATCTGAATCCTGTCACTCTGTACCAATCTGTTCCTTCCAGTACCATTCCCTGCTGCCTTTTATTTTTTTTCTTTTTATAAACATTCATTTATTTATTTGTTGTGATCTTCAATCTGCCAGGTCCAGGATTCAAAACACAGTCTGCCATGTAGGAATCCAACACCTCAACCACTCCTGCTGATCCCTCTTCAAATATGGGGTCAACAGGAGTGGTTGAAGTGTTATAAACAGCCTATAAACTGAGGTAATCCTCTCAGAAAGCAATCTGGTATTAGATCAAAAGTCATACAAATGTTCTCCTAGGGGCCAGCAGTGACATGTGATTGAGGTGCTGGATCCCCACATGGCCAACCACAATTCAAATCCCAGACCCAGCGGCTTGAAACTCACACAAGGGGTATGTGCGTGTGTGCCCCAAATCCCAAGAGAATGGAGAAGGGATTGGGCATAGCCATCTCCCTGGGCATGATTTCTCACTTTCTCCCTCTGTCTCTCTGGTAAGCGCATGCGTCCTATAGAAAAAGAATTTCTCAAAAAAAAAAAAAAAAAGTTCCACTAATGCCTTCTTACTGATATCTGGTATCTGCTCCATATATTCAAACAGATTCACCACAGTTTTGCTTAAACAATAAAGAAAAAGTAAAACAACTTAAATGACCAAGAGGTAAATGGCTAAACCTGGCATACTCACACCAATGACAACTAAAAATAATGTTCAAGAAGACTGCAACGACAACAACAACAAAACAAGGTTACAATAAATACTGCTGACATTAACAATTATATGGGAAAAGGCATGAAGTATATTAATTACTTCTAAATCTTGATATAACTATAATGAGTGCATATCTTTTTTCCCTTTTAAATTTTTTTAAATGGTTCCTATTTCAATTTTTAAAAAATTTCCTATAGGGTGTGTGCACTGGCCAGAGAGAGAGTGAAAAAACACCCTCCAGGGGGAATAACCAGACAATTCCTCCTCCATTCTCTTTTGGGATTTTGGGAACACATGCACATACACCAGGCATGTTTTGGGTCCAGTACTCAAAATACAATTGGTCAAGTAGGATCCAAGCTGCCTTAACCACCTCGCCACCACCTGGCTCATTAAATGTTTTTAAACTGAAGTAATATTACTTTTCTTTTCTTTTAATGTTCGCTATAGGGTGCGTGCACTCACTGGAGAGAGGGGGAAAGTGAGGGAGTACCCCTCGGAAGGATGGCCAGGTTGTAATCCCTTCTCTCCACTTCCGAATGAGAACTTGGGGCATGCATGTACACATGCCCAGCATATTTTTCAAGCTGCCAGGTCTGGGACTTGAACTGAATAGTCACCTATGTGAGATCCAACCACCTTCACCACACCACCAGCTGGCCTAAGTAGTATTACTTTTATAAGAAAAACAATGCATACATTTTAAAAAAAGCTGTATATCAGGGGCCAGCAAATGGCTAAGGTTACGTAGCTAACTCCCACAGAGTCGACCGTGGTTGGAGTCCCAGACCAGGCAGCTTAAATTCACACCAGGCATGTGTGTGTATGTGCGTGCCCAAAGTCTAGAGAGAAGAATGAAGAATGGATTACAGTGTGACCATCCCCCTGGGGGTTGATTTCTCACTTTCTGTCTCTCTGTCTATCTCCGTCTCTCCAGCGAGCACATATGCCCAGAGCAAAAATCTTTCTAAATAAACAAATAAATAGGGAAATAAAATACTGTATATTATAAAGCCAAACATTGATATATGTTAACATGAAAATACAGGTGCAGTTCAGCAAATGATTGTCCAAACACAGACCTAAATAGGAAAAAAGGATAGACAGTTTATTGGCATAAAAAATGCAAGTTTCCTAATTGTGCAATAAAATATTATTTTATTAAGCAAGACTCTCCTCTAATCACTCTGCTAGGTAATAGTAAATATATTCCTCAAGAACCAGTAGAAGGGACCAATGCCATTTATCCAAGTCCAGGTTTAGCTACTAAAAATAGCAGCAAATATCTGAATAAATGTGGAGAGCTGTGTGATAATCAACAAGTTAACTGACCTACATGCTTCGGTTTCCTCCTGGTAAAAATGGAACAAAAGTATAACCTAACATCAGGAAGAAAAGGATGAAATAAGCTAATAGTATCTGAGAAGGAATGAAAGGAGAGAGTAACCTCCACAGACATCTTAAACTCTGTTTTTGAAACAGAGAAAGATGCAGGTATGCTAACATCATCCTGAATATAAAGCTTCACACTTACACAAGGAATGGGTGTGACTCCGTCCTCCCTAACAATCTCCTTCCTGCTCCAAACTGCACAGCCATATAACTTTTTTTTCAGCTGATTTTTTATTTACATTTAATCGCTACATCTTCACAGTGTACAAAACGGTTTTCCCAGTATAAATATGGTGCATATTAGTCAAGTCAAAGATATTATCATATACATTATCAACAGATAACTTGTCATTGTTGTGTCTATTACATGGGGTTTTTTCTTTTTTTTTTTTTAAGTGACAGACCTTAGGAAAAGTGTTATAAAAGGTTACATTGGAGGGAACCAGCAGTTAGCATAATGGCTATGTCGCTGGACTCCCACGTAGTCGACCGCGGTTCATGTCCGGGACCCGGTGGCTTAAAACTCACACCAGGTGCGTGTGCGTGCGTGCCCAAGATCCCGAGAGGAGAATGGAGGAGAAGGGATTGCGGCGTGACCATCCCCCCTGGGGGGTGATTTCTCGCTTTCTGTCTCTATGTCTCTCTCTGCCTGTCTGGCGAGTGCATGCGCCCTACAGTGAAAATCTCTCCCAAAAAAAAAAAAAAAAAAAAAGGTTACATTGGAGAATTATTCACTTCAAACATATAAGTATGGAGAAGGTGGGATTTTTCTTGGCTGTAAAAGCCATGTGGAAATTAAACATACAGATATGTGTCAGGAAAAGCATTAAAGACAACTAAGAAGAAGTTGTAAAGCAGTATTGTATGTTGGTAAAGAACAATAACATGGATATTGAACTGTAGGGTCAAAGCTTGGCCCTGCGTTGTGACCTTGGGAAAGTTACTTAACCTCTCCTTCCCATTTTTTCCTCAGCTGGTGTGGAGGTTGTTTTCAAAGGCGGCCGTAACTATCCTTCCCAAGCGACTTTTTCATTCTTCCCTTCAAGAATGCCATACGACTTGTAAGAACATCTCCCATGCCATCTCAAAACTGCAAACCTGAGCACCCATCCACAAGGGCTTAGTCACTTCATCTGCATAACAACTGTAAACATATTTACACTAGTTAATACCTATTTATATAAAAGTTCAAGGTTGTCCTGCTTTTATACCTTTTCATACGTTTACAGTATACAAAGCTCGCAGAAAGTCACATGTTCGCTAATTGGTGTTGGTTCCTTTAACCGAAAGTCCAACCCTTAACTCACTCTACCCATGAAAGTCAGTGTAGGAAATGCTGACCCAAGCTGGAAATTCATTGTGGGAGCTAGTCTAGACTTGGCGCCAGTTTTAAAGCGGTTATTTCCAAACCTATAGTAAAATCCTCAGTGAAACGGTATGGCGGTTCAGGTGCTTAATATTTGTGATATAAAATAAAGCTGTTTTCGTGGCTTTAGTTTACGCAGACTTCATGCCAACACACTCCCTCCTACGGTGTGGGTGTACCGGGGCATGAACTCTGTGCTAAGGGTCACACGATCAGAAAGGAAGAACAAAAGCGAAACTCCAGGATGGGTTCACACCCCTCGCCTCCTGTCGTTCCACAATGCGTGCATTAAAACGCGTGTTACGGCCAGCACTGATCCCATCCGGGATGTACTGGGGTCCTGGGGTCTACACTGAGTCCTCTTGCAGAGCGAGTTGGCCGCTGTTGGTCCAGTCCCCCTGACAGGGCCCTCCCCAAGGCCGGACTCACAGCCGGGCGCCCAAGCCCCGCGGCTCCAGCCGCCTCCCGGCCCGCTCGGCAGCCCGGTCTCACCCGCTCCCGGGTGCTCCATGGTCACGGCGCGAGAGGGAAGCACGTCCCCGAGGGCAGCAGCGGCGGCTCCGCGCCCCTCGGGGCCGGGGCCGGTGCCCGGACTCAGGAGAAGGCGGAGGCCGGGGCGGGGCCGGAGGCCGGCGGGCGGCTGGGGGAGGCGGAGCAGGGACTGGCGCCAGTGGTACCGGATTCTGCGAGCTGCGCGGCAGCACTTGGGGAGCGTCAGGGAGCCCAGGCCTGCGCCCCGGGAGCCGAATCCCCGCCCGCCTGCGCTTGCTGGTCAGGCTGTCTGCGAGGCCCCAGGCAGCCCTTGGTTACTTCATGTGGCGCGGCCTTTCCCGTACTACGCTTTGATGGGCGAGGTGTGGCCTGGGCTCAAAGCATTCCCTTGCCCAGAGTCCCCTGAGAACCTTGTGTTTAGTTTCACACAGAGCTTTTTTTTTTTTTTTGGAGAGATTTTCACTGTAGGGCGCATGCGCTCGCCAGACAGAGAGAGACTTAGAGACAGAAAGCGAGAAATCACCCCCCAGGGGGGATGGTCACGCTGCAATCCCTTCTCCTCCATTCTCCTCTCGGGATCTTGGGCACGCACGCACACGCGCCCGGCGTGAGATTTAAGCCACCGGGTCCGAGACGCGAACCGCGGTCGACTACGTGGGAGTCCAGCGACATAGCCATTACGTTAACTGCTGGTTCCCTTTCACACAGAGCTTTGAAAACAGGGTTCAGACGAGAGAATATCTGGTAAGAGCATATGTACAAGAACAAGATCTCGGGACCAGCAGTTGGCGTAATGGCTATGTCGCTGGACTCCCACGTAGTCGACCGCGGTTCGCGTCTCGGACCCGGTGGCTTAAATCTCACGCCGGGCGCGTGTGCGTGCCCAAGATCCCCAGAGGAGAATGGAGGAGAAGGGATTGTGCGTGGCCATCCCCCCTGGGAGGGGATTTCTCACTTTGTCTTTCTGGCAAGCGCACCCACCCTATAGCAAAAACCTCTCCTCCCCCCCCCAAAAAAGAACGAGAACTGGTACATCTTAATTAGAGGTTTTATTTGCCTTTTTTTTTTCCTTTGCAGGGGAAAGGGACAAATAGTGACAAATCCTTGAAAATGTTTAAAATAATTTTTAATTTTATTTTTTTTTAATTTATGTTCCAGAGAGAGAGAAACAGAAGAGTGCCAGGTCCAGGACTTGTACTGCTGTTCCCCATGTGGGAGCCCAGCACCTTAACCATCAGGTTGCTTGCGGCACCACCCTTGATGTTTTTAACAATGGCAGTATACCTAAAATTAAAAGGAAACCAGTTACTGGTTTTGCAGATTAAGGTACTGATGTACCTTCAACAGGAGGAAATTTACTTAGTTAAAATAATAATCATAAAAGGTATTTCACCTTGGAACGAATGCCTCTGGACTTTTGTTGTTTGTTTAGTGCAAAGAAACCAGGGATAAAAAAAAATTAGAAAGTAAACCTAGCTCCTTTTTCAAATAATAACACTTTATTCATCTTAAATACACCCTAGAATGGGAGGGAGTCAAACACAAACCCTTCATAATTTCAACAGTTGATGTAAAGAACATAGACTAGAAGTCTTAGAGCTAGTTACTCTGAATTTAAAATAAATCTTCAAATTAGTATCTGGTTTTCATAGACATAGCATTTATGGGTTGGTAGGAAGGTTCGACAGGTTCCCCTAATATTTATGTAACGCTTGAGCTCTCTGCTGAAGTAGTGCAAGCAAAACAAGTCTTTTTCTTAAGAAGATGGTCATCTAATAGAGAAAGAAACAACTGCAATAAGTAATAAAATTGAAATCACATAAAAGTAATCCATATCAATATTAAAGGTCAGGATATACCACCTAAAACATGTACTTTGACATATGATTATTTTGAGTTGAAGGCAACTGAGAAAAATGTTTAAAAATGTGTGGATCCCACATGGCCTAGTATGCAGGTTCAAGCCCCAGTGTGTCCTGATTGCCCAGATACATCCTAAGAAAAGGGAGAGATGAAGCAGAAGGGATTGCAGAATGATCATTCCCCTTGGGGGATGCTTTCTCACTTTCTCTCTCCTGCCGGTGCACATGTCCTCTGGCAAAATGTTAAATAAAGATGTATCACTCTCCCACACTAGGAAAAGGAGAGTGACTCTTATTTGCATAAGAAACCTTACCAAAAAACTCCTATTTACCAGGCAGTCCTACTCACTCTCCCTCAATTTAGACCACTCCCACTCACAGAAGCTCAAACCCTTTTTTCTTTTGTCTAATCTTTTCCTACTTTTACACCATTTGTTAAACTGGTATATAAGACCCCAGGTTTACCTACATCTTTGAGTTTTTCACTTTTTTTCTTATGAAGCTCCTATGTGTATGTGTAATAAATAAGCCCTTTCTCCTGTTTATCTATCTCTTGTCAGTTAATCCACATGCATCAGCTACTGAATTAAGATGGTAAGAGAAGGGTTTGTGTTTTTTTCCTCCCCTACAATATGTATCAAAAGAAATAAGAAAGTTTCATTTGCTACCTAAACAGAAGTATCAGTCCAAATGCTGCCTACCTATTGTTCACAAGCACTATTTTGAATATTGTGTTTTACCTAACATCTCTTAGGTAGAGGAACATGTAAATTATGAAAGTCCTGAAAAAAGGTTTTCACAGAGCTTCTTTGAGAAATAACTTCTTCCACAAAGTACAAGGTGAAGCTCAGACATTGTTTTGCCCTCGAAAGCAAAGACAAATGGGAATGGTCAAAAACACAGGAACTAGCTTGAAACCACTCTCTTTGACCAAGAGGGAGACAATTTGAGACTAAATAAAAGAATAACAACTAATTATTATAACACATTGAACACAGAATACTAGTAAGTCATAATGATACTCAAAAAAATGAGAAGAAAAATTAATGGGCCACCGTTGGAGGTGATTGTTACCAACCTCTTATTCTCCTTAGGTTAACAATTTCAAATTCACTCACCCAAGTACTACACACCGAATTGTAGGTACACGGTGTGATGAAGAAGAGTGCCGCTTTATTGCCATGCTTAAGCCAAGGAGAGTGGACAGCTCGTGCTGAAAGACCCATTTGCCCCAAGGAGTTCCCTATGTGCATTTTTTTTTTTTTTGAGAGGTTTTACTATAGGGTACATGTGCTCACCAGAGAGACAGAGAGAGACAGAGAGACAGAAAGCTAGAAATCACCTCCCAGGGGGCATGGCCACGCCACAATCCCTTCTCCTCCATTCTCCTCTTGGGATCTTGGGCACACATGCACACACACCTGGCATGAGTTTTAAGCCACTGGGTCCGGGACGTGAACCGTGGTCAACTGCATGGGAATCCAGCGACATAGCCATTATGCTAACTGCTGGTCCCCCCACATGCATTTTTAAGGGCAAAACTAAGGGGGGAGGGGTCCCAGACACATGATCAATTCAATGATTGGTTGAATAATGAGCTGGTGAGCCTTCTCAGTTGGCAAGGGCTTGCAAAATAAAATTCTTGCTCTAGAAGGGAGCAATCATCAGGTTTCCAGCACCATTAAGCCTAGGATCTATATACTCCTAGCCAGCAATGTCCTTCCTCCAAAATATTTGAGGACAGAATTCTATTTCTTCCTATTCCAGAGGGCCTGGGAGAGTCACATTGACAAATATTAACAGAAGCCTAAAAACACGAACAGATGCTTTGGTCCATTAATAGTAGGATACTACATCCTGTCCGAGGCATAGTGGTTTTTGATGGGTAGTAAGCCTTTTTATCCCCTAAAACACACTCTTTTGCTATTTTCTTTCAGGAACAGAGACTTGTTTTTCTTTCATTATTAATCTAAGAATTTCGAACTCACCTCCAACCTATAAGCCTAGCTTCCAGATGTCCCACGTTTTTAGGCCAGACCGATGTAATGGACTCCTTTTGCTGGTTGAGAACTCTCCTGCTCTCAAAGCTATATAGAATAAGCCACTGTATCTCAGCAGCACAAGAAACACACTCATCTTTCTCCGGGTCTGGTCACTCAATCTCGTGCTTAGTGATAAAGAGAATTAATTATTATTTCTAGGGGCCAGCAGGTACATAACGAACTCCCACATGGCCAGCCACAGTTTGAGTCCCAGACTCGGTAGCTTGAAATTTACAATGGGCGCATACGCGTGCCCAAGATCCTGAGAGGAGAATGGAGGAGAAGGGATTGCAGCATGGCCATCCCCCCAGAGGGTGATATCTCACAATCCCTGTCACTGTCTCTGTCTCTCTCTTTCCACAAGTGCACAAACCTCTCAGGTAAAAACCTCTAAAAAAAGAAAAAGTGTATTATTTCTACAGAGTTGGATATTTCTGTCAACATTTTTTTTTTTTGGAGTTTTTGCTATAGGGCACATATGCTCACCAGAAACAGAGAGAGAGACAGAGAGACAGAAAGCGAGGAATCACACACACACACACACACACACACACACACACACACACACCTCAGGGAGAATGGCCATGTCGCAATCCCTTCCCTTTCATTCTCCTCTTGGGATCTTAGGTACGCGCACACACGTGCCCAGCGGGAGTTTAAGCCACCAGCTCTGGGACTTGAACAATGTTCAACTACATGGGAGTCCAACAGTGTAGCCATTACATTATCTGCTGGTCCTATGTCAACACATTTTAAGTATTAAAGTTAAAACCTATCTTTCAAGGCCAGCAGGTGGTTTGTAGGTTAAGGTGGCTGGTTCCTAGATGACCAGCTTTGCAGTTCAAGTTTTGGACCAGATGTCTTGAAAAACACACTGGGCACTTGAGCATACATGCCCAAAAATCCCAAAAGCAAAATTGAAAAGGTACTGCCACATAGCTATCCCCTCCCAGGGGTTGATTTCCTACTTTGCCTCTCTCTCTCTCTGGCCAGCACAGGCACTCTTGAGGTGCTGGATCCCCACATGGCCAACCACAGTTTGAGTCCCAGACCTGGCAGCTTAAAAATCACAACAAATAGGGACCCAGCAGTTAGTATAATGGCTATGTCTCTGGACTCCCACGTAGTCGACCGCAGTTTGCGTCCCGGACCCGGTGGCTTAAAACTCACGCCGGGCGTGTGTGCATGCGTGCCCAAGATCCCGCGAGGAGAATGGAGGAGAAGAGATTGCA